CTCGGAGGGAGAAGGGTAGCTCTGATGTCATTTAGGGCTGTGCAGTAGAACAGGTGATGCTCCACAGTCTCATATGCATAGTCACACAGGGGACACATTTGGGGAAGGTGTCGAGTCTGTAGTCATTCAGAGTTGAAAAATATATATATAAGATTGTACGACACTGAGCAGACTTTAATGTTACATTGCAATATGATATTTTAAATTCTGTTTGTAACTTGATTTATTCAAAACGGAATAGCCTTCTGCTACACATCCCAAGAGAACTATAGAAAAAGACTTTTGGTAGTCCTGGAATTTGGAGGGATCGACGATTGATTATGTATTGGTTTTATTTTACCTCAAGAAACGGTCAACCATTTGGTTAACTATTATGCCACAGGCCTCATTTGAGCAATTTCGTTGGTGTTTTGATATCTGCGTCTTTTGGAAGCTTGCTCCTCAGTAGTTTTACTTGTTGATGGAACACTTATACTGTTTTTAATTTCTTCAACAGTTGCTGTCTGATAGTGATGTGACCTGAACAAGCGTGCTTTTCAAACAAGATTCACCTGGTGCACATAGCAATGAACAAAGACAGCATAGGGGGAAAATTGGCGCATCTGAGTCTGTACACCAGAGACTCTCCGCTCATTACAGCTGCCCCATCGTAGGTTTGGGCGATCAGCTTCTCCTCGACCCTGAATGGTTCTAATTCTTCGTTTAGGGTTGAAACGAGCCCTTATGAAGTTCTATCTCTGGCTTCAAAAAGACTTTAGAAACCGCTCTATCCGTTTATACCTCAGAGAGATGACAAACTGTGACCGATGACCTGCATGAGTTGCTTCGTCAGCCTGGACAGAAAGAACGTTGGCAGAACCCTTAAGGTGCGTGTGCACTGGAACAGACACCAACCGACCCGATTCCGTCCGCCTCTCGGAAAGTCGGTAGTTGAAATGGAGCACCGTTTTTTCCTTTAAAAATCAGCGAAAATTCCGTTTGGCTGTGTGAACAGACACGACACATCACGCCCCGACAAAAGACGTGTCGGTTGGAAGGCGGCTTGCTGCATCTTTGGGGGACAGAGTGGTGACTCATCAGCCATACGCCCCGCCGGAGCTAACAAAAAATCTACTTTTGAGCTCGGATTAAAAATCTGTTGTTAAATTCGTAATCAGTACCTCAAAATTAGCAATGTATATGCTCAAATCACGTGGTTTGAATGCAAATTAACAATTTTACCAATTTCCCTTAAAACCCATACATAATTTCTTGTTCCCGCCATAGGTTCATGTGACCTCTTGACTATTTATAGCCCTGTATGGAGAACACAGCCCGCCACGACTGAGGTCTAGCGTACACATCCGGAAGTAGGTCAACAGACTATTCGTGTCGTTTCCGAACTGTGTGGTCACACAGGACGGAAACGACCAGACCGATTTTCCTCCTCCCAACAAAAACCAAAAAACCCGGATTGTGTCTGTCCCAGTGGACACGAAGCCTTAGGGTGAGACCACGTTAACAACGGACAATTTCCACAACATCCTCTCATCAGACATGGCGTGTACCAGGAGAAAGAAGTTATTGTTTTATTTTGTTATGGTTGAGGGGGGGGGGGGGACCGAAGAAACAACGACAGCGTGTAGGAAAAAACATGACACTCACCCAATATTGAGACAGCGGGAAAATTTTAGATTTGCAAGAAGGAGTCGCTCTCCATTCATGTTTGCGATATATAAAGCACAACAAGACATGTAAAATGGGTCGCTTTTAAGGACAAGCGGGCTAACCCAGATATCGGGGGTTTCCAGAAATCTTGACCTGCAACAAATGTGGGCATTGCCCAACCTATAGGGGAAGTTCGGTTTCACAGGTTTGTGTATTTGTTTGGTTATAGAGAAAACTCTCATTGTCTTTTAAAGAAACTGAACAAGGGGCAAAAACTTTACCTTCAATTTTCTCAAAACAGCTTTTTTTCGGGATAGCCCCCTTGTGCCTAAAAGCGACTAAATTGTTTTCCTTTGCATATAGCTATTCATTGACAACTGGTGGGGACAAGAGAAGTACTTCTCAAGGGGACTAGTTGAGGAAATTATTTATTATTTCCATTGAAACGGACGGACAAAAAATGTGAAACATGTTCTCTGGGAATCGTGTCGCCCGTGACGTGGACAATCGTATCGGTGTCTGTGTGGTATGGCAAAACGATTTGGCTATTACATTTTACTCCCTTCCCTGTTTTGCTTTATCTTCCAACCAGACATCGTTGTCCGTTTTGTCCTGTCGTCCGTCCTTAACCTGGTCTTACCCTTATTAATATTTATGTACTACGAAGCACACTCTGAACGTCATCGTTGTTCGGGTCAGCCCATTGAGCATTTTTCGAGTTAGATTTCCACCACTGAACATGCTATTTATAAGGTCGATTTTAAGCACAAAGAGCGTATCCCGAAAAAATGGTATTTTGAGAAAACTGAAGGTAAAGTTTTTGGACCCTTGTTTAATTTCTTTAAAAGACATGGAGAGTTTTCTCTATACAGAAACACATATTACACACATCAATGAAACCAAACTTCTCCTAATAGGTAAGGCAATGCCCACTTTTGGTGTAGGTCAAGATTTCTGGAAACCCTCGAAATCTGTGTTAGCCCGCTTGTCCTTAAACGCGACCAACTTGGGTGGAGCACGAGAATTTGATGTGGTATACTACCAGACCGAAGGGATAGAACCCAAATGGCCGCTGGATCGGAAAAGTAAAGTAAAGTAAAGTATGTGGTACAGTATCAGTAGAGTGCCACGGATACACTAATGACCGATTAGGCTCTGCATGGCGAGAAATTTGTATGGAAAATTGATTAGGTAGTAGGAGTTCAAGATTTTTAAATTATCTCCTTGTGGGTGTATGTAGTGCGCATTACACTTTTTGTGCAGCAGTGCACGACCATGCTCTATTGGCAGGCCGCCCCTGTTTAGGAGGCGGGCCTCCGACACTGCATGTCAAAGCCGACCCAGACTGCCAGAGGGCTACAACATCCCACCAGAATGACCGAGGTACTGGATAACATTTCTCCTTCTCCCGACTCGGGAATCAAACCTGGGTCTCCTGCGTGCGACAGCGAAGTTACCTCCCCCCCCCCCCCCAAAAAAAAAAAAAATAATAATAATAATAATAATAATAATAAATATTTAAAATAATTAAACCCAAAATAAACCCCACATACACAGGTAATAAGTATACGACCCGTCGTTAAAGGAACCAATTTCACAGAACATCACATTTATTGATGACAGCATCAAGTGCATTAGATCACACATCAGGGAATTTAGAGCTGTCGTTAGCGTCTCTTGATAGTCACTATCTCGCCAACACAGACAATTTTACACACACCTGCATACATCCTTCTTCACCCCCCTCCAAATACACACACACACACACACACACACACACACACACACACACACACACACACACACATCT